AACTCAGGACCTTGAGCTTGCAAGGCAGGTGTAGTGCTACTGAGCTAAATCCCCGGCCTTTTTACATTTCTTTTTTGGAACCAAGGATCGAACTCGGGACCTTCCACTTTCAAGGCAGGCAGCACCATCACTGAGCTAAATCCCTGGCCCTATTTCTTATTTTGATTCAGGGTCTCACTAAGTCACTAAGCTGCCCAGGCTGGGCTCAAACTCCATTCTCCTACCTAGGCATCGGGGGTGCTGGTATTACAGGCATCTGTGTGCTGTCATGCCTGGCTGAGACCTGGGCTCAACCCAGTATGGCCGGGGGAAATGTACATAGCATCTACATAAGGGGTGATGGTATTATTTAGCTTTAAAGAGGAAGGAGATCCTGATACTTAGCACAATGTGAAACCAAGCCAAACACAACAGGACAAATAATTATACATGATCCCTCTGACATGAAGTACCTAGAAGAGGCAATTCATAGAGACAGAAAATGAATTAGAGACTATGAGGAGCTGGGGGGGAGGGAAATGGGAGTTATTGCTTAATAGGAGTTTCTGTTTGGCTGATAACATGTTGGAAATAGTGGTGGCAATTGCACAATACTGTGAGTATACTTAGTGCCACTGGAAAATGGTAAAAATGACAAGTTTTTTGCTATATAGGCTGCAACACAATAAAAACATACAAGGCACCACCAGGGAGAGACAGAGACAGTGAGACTTTGGGGAAGAGCCGGGAGTCACAAAGCGCCAGCTCCAGTGAATAAGGAGGGTGCGGACACAGGGTCATGTTTTTCTGACCCTGCCTTCCCACTGGATAGCACTCGGCGGTGGCAGGGACAATATTTTTGATCACAGCTCTCAAAGACACTCAAGAAAGAGAATTTCCAGAACTGCTTCAGAAAGTGCAAAGAAAATTAACAGAAAAATTCTTGTCCTACCTACTCACTGATAAGAGCAGATAAACCAAGCAAGTGTTATCAGCTACCATGTCGGCTCTAAAAACACACCATATTTAATGAAGAACTTTAGACCACTAGTGTTCAGGAGCACCGACCACCCCCAGCCCCTTCTCCACCTAACCCCTGACACGGCTGGTGTGACTCTGTCTCCCTGCTGAATGCGAGCTACCTGGGGCAGACTGTGCTTTGACCACTGCTCTAAATGCCTGCATGAGTAGATGCTCCATTAACATCTGTGGAAGGAATGAATTATAGCTGCAACAACTCATGATGGGGAGCAGTATGAATCTTCCTCAAATTCCTTCCAGAACTGCAGAGAAAGGAACACTTCCTAACTCATTTTAAAGGGCCAGCATAACCCTGACACCAAAGTCAGACAAAGACATGCTAAGAAAATTATAGGTGCATATACCTTACAAAGACTGATGCAAAAATCCTGAAAACACCAGCAAACTGAATTCAGCAGTCCTATTTTTCCCCCCTTTGGTTTTTTAATACAAGGTCTCACTATATACCCCAGCTTGGCATCAAACTAGTAATCCTCCTGCCTCAGCCTCCCAAGTGCTGGAATTGCAGGCATGTGTCACCAAATCACATCAGAACTATTAAAAGATTTTCAGGGGCCGGGGATTTAGCTCAGTGGTTCCGCTGCCTGCTGCGCAAGCACAAGGACCCGAGTTTGATCCCCGGGACCAAAAAAAAGGCCATGACTGGAAGGAAATGTAACATGATAAACGCTGAATATGAAAAATCCACAGCGGAGGGGAGGGGTGTGTGGTTAGACATGTCTACATCCCAGCTACTTGAGAGGCTGAGGCAGGAGGATCACAAGTTCAAGGGTAGCCTGGGCAAATTAGTGAGAGTCTGTCTCAAAATTTGAAAATAAAAGCACCAGGGATTTAGCTCAGTAGTTCTGGCACCTGCCTCGCAAGCACAAGGTCCTGAGTTTGATCCCTGGTACCAAAAAAATAAAAATTTAAAAATAAAAGGGCTGGGGGTGTAGCTCAGAGGCAGAGTGCTTGCCTATGATGTGCAAGGTTCTGTGATCAATCTCCAGTGGGAGACGGTGACCTTTATGTATTAAAGGACATTACTGACACTGTTAGGAAAGTGAAAAGACAAACCAATGAATGGGAAAAATATTTGCAAATCATGTATCTGATTTGTTGTAAATATTCAAACTACATGAAGAACTCTTACAAATCAATGAGAGTAACCCCCCCCAAAAAAAATCTCACACAACTGGATTTTAAAAATGGGCAAAAGACTTGAATATGTATTTCTCCAAAGACAACAAGCAAACAACCATAAATACATGAAAACACACTCCACGCGCATCACTGATCATCAGGGAAATGCAAATCAAAACCACAATGAGACATCACTTCTCACTCGCTAGGAGGCTATAACTTAAAAAGGAAAGGAAAGAACAAGTGAAGAGGAGCAGTGAAGACATCGGCATCCCTGTGCACTGCTATTGGGAATGTGAAAGGGTGCAGCGCCTGTGGAAAATAGTGTGGGGGGCCTGGGGCCTCAAAAGATTAGACAGGGAGTTGCTGTGCAACCCAGCAATTTCCTTCTGGGTATACAGCTAAAATAAGTCAGAGCAGAGACTCAAACGGATGTTTTTACTTCAGGGTTTACAGCAGCATTGACAGCAGCCAAAAGGTAAAGGTAACCCAACTGTTCATCAGTAGATGAATGGATAATCAAAATGTTGTGTGCACACACAATGGAATATTATTCAGTCTTAAAAAGTGATGAAACAAGACCTGGGATTTAGCTCAGTGGCACCATGCCTGCCTTGCAAGTGCAAGGTCCTGAGTTTGATCCCCGGTACTAAAAAAAAAAAAAAAGTGATGGAATTCTGACAAATGCTCAGACATGTATGAACACTGAAGACACTAGACTAAGTTAAATAATACTGTATGACTCGACTTATATATGGCACCCAGAGTAGTCAAATTCATAGTCACAGAAACCATAACAGTGTGTGCCAGAGGTAGAGAGGGAGGCATGAGGAGTTACTGTTTTAATACCTAGAGTTTGTTTGGAATGATGAAAAAGTTCTGAAAATAGACTGTGGCATGATAACAATGTGGATTACTTAATGCTGTTGGACTGTACACTTGAACAATTAAAATTATAAATTTTATGTACATTTTACTACAATCTTTTTTTTTGTTCTGGGGATCGAACTTGGGACCTTATGCTTGTGAGGCAGGAGTCAGAATGTTGGTTTATTATCTTTTTTTTTCTCTTTTTGGTGCTGGGGATCCAACTCCAGACCTGTGCCTTCGAGGCAAGTGGCAGAACCACTGAGCTAAATCCCCAGCCCTACCACAATTTTTTAAATAAAGAAAAATACCAACTCCTATTTGCAAGAGAATTTGTGCATGTATGCACGCAAGTGTGTGGCCATGGTACTGGGGTTTGAATCCAGGGGCTTTGCATTGAGCTACATTCCTGGGCCTTTTTTTTGGTACCAGGGATGGAACTCAGGACCTTTCGCTTGTAAGGCTGGTGACGGAACCACTGACCTAAATCCCCAGCCCTGGGCCATTTTTTAAAATTTTGAGACTGAGTCTCGCTAAATTGTCCAGGCTGGTCTTGAACTTGTGATCCTCCTGCCTCAGCCTCCCAGAGTGCTGGGATTACAGGTGTGCACCACTATACCTCACTGAGAAGAATCTTTAAAGGCTAGTTCTCCAAGGGCCTGGCACATCCTTCCCATGGCAGTGAGCTAAGAGGATGCTATCTTGTCCCCTGTATTCGGACCTCAAACTCAGCCCCAACAACATGAGCCATAATGCAAGCAAGCAGCCTCTGTGGCTGGTACTGCCTGAAAAGGCCAACACGTGAGCAGGTTGCAGGTAGCTGTCTGATGTGTAGCACAGCTGCCAACAAACGCACACGCCAACCTGGCCAGCTTTCACTCTCAAGTTACTTCCCCCTTAGCTTTCCCACAGAGAACCAGGCAGTTAGGGTGAAGGAAAATGGGCCAGACTAAGCAGGTTGGTTTTGTTTTTTTCAAACAGGAAAGTGTCCCCAGATCCCCGCCATTCTGGCAACTCTGGCATATTTAATATTCTCTCTGCTTAGTAAAGGACAGTTTTGGGTTAACAATCTCCTCCCGCTGTGGTCTTTAGGGATCTCTATGCCACCAGATCTCAGAATAACCCAGTGACAGGGTACGGGCAAGGTTGTTACCCTTACCCCCAGTGGCTCAGGGAACGGAAGCAATTTGTCCCTAGTCCCACAGCCTCCAGTGACCGGGCAAGTTCTGCACTTGCGGAGTGAGCTTCGGAGTTCTGTTTGTGCACTGCTTTGGAAGATAACAAGGCCGAAATGGATTCGAAACATTTTGATTGCAAACGAAGGAGAGGGAAAATGCTTCTGAATCTGTCAACTAACAGGGGCGGTGGGCCCACCCCAGAGAACTATCTGCGCAAGAAACAAAAGCAAGGCCGGGGATTCAGCTCAGTGGTTCCGCCGCCTGCCTCGCAAAAGCAAGGACCCGAGCTCGATCCCCGGTACCATAAATAAATAAATAAATAAAGTCACTGGAGTGAAAATTTAAAAAAAGAAACAAAGAAACAAAAGCAAGCGCCCTCTTCCCGCCCTGCAGTCCACCTTGACAGCTTTTCTTTCGGATTTTTGCATTCTATAGTTCCGGCGGTGCGCTGGACAACAGGGCAGGGTCTGTTAGGCTCAGGAAATCTAGTGTGGGAGTGAAACGGGACAAATCACGCCGAATCCAGCAAGCATCTTAAACTGAAGGTAGACCTAGCAACAAGCTGAAAGGGAGAAGCCAAACTTCCTGCAGCGCCCTGACCGCTAACGGCGCACCCCAGCACCTGCGCTACCACTCAGCGGCCCCCAGAAAGACCCGCCCCACAGCCCACGAGTGGGCGCCTCTCCTCGCGCATGCGCCAACCGCCTACGCATGCGTGCCTCAGCAGCGGCCTTTTCCTACTTGACCCAGCTCTCCAACCGGGACTCCGAATGCTGGCTGCCTCGGCTCTGTCCCTCCTTCCGCGTTCCTCACCTTGCGTCCCGTTTTCTCCCGTAGGGCCTTCAGCCGTTCTTTTCTCCGCAGGGCCTCTTCCTCTAGCCGGCCTACACCGGCCGCAGCGGCCGCCATCTTGCTCGCGACCCGGTCCCCTTTTTGGTTTTGTCCTGATCGCGCGAGATCTCACGACCAATCTAAGACGAGAATGGGTGCGCCGGAACCCCTGAGAGCCAATCAGTGCTGACGTGCTCTCGGAGGGCCCGTAACTCGCCTGGCGGATGAGGAGCCGACAAAAGAAAAACAACAAGAAACTGCTAAGGCTCGCTTTCTTCAACGCTAAGCAGTTTCAGCCCCACGTGGAATCAGACCTGAGAGGAAAAAAATAGAGTGCGTCGATCACCCCTGGTTTTGCCTGAGGACTAAACTATATCTCATTTCCTGCTGGCCTCTTGAATCCCCTGCCCCGTTCTTACTCATTTGTCCTGGCTCTTCAGATGTGAATGCCTTCGAGAAACCTTTCTGAGCCAGGCGTGGTGGCCCAGGCCTGTAATCCCAGCACTGGGGAGGCTGAGGCAGGACGAGGGATGATCTCGAGTTTAAGGTCACCCTGAGAAACCTTCCTTGACTCAGATCCGATCTTATAGGAGGTTTGCCTCTCCCTCCACTACATCTCAGGTGTCCGTTCTTAGCCCGGACAAAATCTGCACAGAGCGGGACCTGGCGGCGTGGCATTTCTTCTGTAAAGCGGCATAGGTTTTACAGATGATCTCTCCTCTCCCCCTTCTCCACTCTACTCCACGGCAAAGTACTGAGAGTCGAGGACCTTCACTGGAGGAGAGCCAGTAGGCCCCGGGAACAAGACCGTCCACCGTACCCTGGTTTAGAAAGACTTGGTGTGGCCTGGCCTGTGGCAGTGGCCCTGAGGTGCACGGCTGCAGGATCCTTTCCTGCCTTGATCGCCCGCCTTGGTAACAGAACACTTTGGTCAGGATGCAGGGTCCCTAGCCAGGCCGGCACCTGTCTGAGATGAGGCCGTCCGTCCTCCACTTTCCCCTAGCCCACACCCTTGCCCGGACAGCAACCCTCACAAGGCTGTTCCTCCCTCCCGACACCTGACCCCCTCACCGACCTGATCGATAGACCCGCCCCCCACAGTGGGTGCAGTGCTTTGCCAAGGCCTGGTATGTGGGTGGCAGGTGCCCAGGAAATAGCTCGGAGCTCAGAGCAAGGGGAAAGAAGCAGAGGCCGACTACGTGGGAGCTACCCAAGAAGCAAGGGGACAGGGCCAGGGCCAGGGCGTGGATTCCAGACTGATCAGTGCCTTCGAGCCATGGCATATCACTGGGCCTGGCGACCCCCGACCACCTCCAACAAAAGGCCTGACCCCTGCCCCACACGTGGGGGGAGGGCTCATAGGCAAAATGGGAACAGGAAAAGGGGCACAGGAGGCATGGGGACAGTGGCCCAGCAGTCTGTTAGGCCTAGGTCCCTGTCCTGCTGCCCCGTCAGCCTCAGTTTCTCCATCTGTAAGGCAGGCAGGAGGCACCCACCCTAAGAGGCTAAAGGAAACAAAGGTGGGCCCTGGAGTGTGGGGTAGGAGTGCCTCCACACCACCTGGGAAGGCTTCCTGGAGGAGGGGACCCGACTCAGGGCTCTTTGGCAACCTGCCCACCCACAAGAAAGGCGTTTCAGGCTCCTGTCCTGATGCTTGCTCCTGTCGCCTGGTCCCCATACCTCCCCTCACGTGGCATAGCTCAAAAGTGGCCTTCAGGTCTTGCCAAAAAGCTTCTGGAGTCAGGCGCGTTGGCACATATCTGTAATACCAAGGGTCTAGGAGGCTGAGGCAGGACGGCTGCAAATTTGAGTCCAACCTGGACAATTTAGGGAGACCCCATCTCAAAAATAAGTAAGGGCGGGGGATTTAGCTCAGTGGTTCCTGCACCTGCCTCGCAAGCGCAAGGACCCGAGTTGGATCCCTGGTACCAAAAAAAAGAAAATAAGTAAAAAATAAAAACGGCTGGAGCTGTAGCTCAGTGGGAAGCCCTAGGTTCAATCCTTCAGTGCCGGGGAGGCGCCTAGAACAGAACCTGGCTGGTGGTAAGCGGGACAAGTGGCCGTCAC